TGCTCTTTGTATTTTGAGACATGATCTCACTATGTAGCCCTGGCTGCCTTAGAACTCACTCTGTAAACTAGGTTGGCCTCGAACTCACAGAGATCTGCCTGCCTCTGTCTACTGAGTTCTGGGATTAGAGGTGTGTGCCACCACTACCTGGCATGTACCTTGAAGTTTTATTTTTTTTGAGAGTTATTATTTTTATGTATGTGAGTATTCAGCCTGCATGTGTGTCTGTGTACCATGTGTATGCAGTGCCTGTGGAGCCACAAGAACCCAAGTCCACTGGAACTGGAATCACCAATGGTTGTGAGCTGCCATGTGAACACTGGGAACCCAACCTGGGTTCTCTGGAAGAGTAGCAGTGCTCCTAACTGCAGCTCTGGTATGGTTTTCAGCCATGTTCTTTATTGCAAAGAAAATTTGCACTCACACAGCTTATATGCACATTTAACAAGAAACTCTAGGCAGTAAAGAAGTTACAAAGCTATTTCTTAGAATCATAATGCATTTCTTGTATGTAAATGATAAGGAGCAGAGCCATTTACCATGGCAACACAAGGGCGGGGGGCGGGGGGAGTAAAGAGCACTTGGGTGTTTCAGCATTCTTTGACAAGGGCTGGCATTGAAAAGAGTCCCAAGCATAAAGATACATTTTCTTATCCTGTATGTTGCCCCAGAGTACAAGGAGGGAAGCCTGTAACCTTGTTATTCAAGGCTATGAGGCCAGACCAGCTTCTGTGACCCTGGCTATCTGTGAAACTTTTCTCACGTAAGGTTGTTTCTCTCTGAACTTGGTTAATTGTGTTTCTGTTACCCATATAAATTTTAGGACTTTAACATAAACAGTTAACTGACCCCTGAATTTTGTGCCATAAACTGAGGTTAGAAATGTGTGCCGAGCATTGCTTGCTAAGGAACTTAATACGGAATATTCACGGTCTCTGTTATCAGTCAGGCCTGGCTAGAGAAAGTGATCCAGGTCCCTCTGTGTCTGAAAGACCTTGATGTAACAAACCAGACATCTGCAATTCTGTTCTTGGGTAAATCTGTGAAAAGTCTAGCTTGCTATCTGTGCACAGAGACCCTTAGTCTAGCTAACTTGCCCTTAATTGCCTTGCCAACTAGCAAATGACGGAAAACAGGCTTCTAAATCTCTCACCAGCACGCGGAACAAAGACTAAACTGTAGGGGCCTGTTTCATTCATCAGGCATATACAGCAAAGGACGACGTCATCCTTCTGTCAGTTTACAGGATCACCAGTGCTCAGTAGACGAGGAGCACACTGCCAACAGCTGTGGGAAGAGATCATGGTATCACACAGGAGAATTACAGGCAGAATCAATCGCATCCGTAGTCAGTTGGCCCATACACCCTGTTTGTGAGTTTACCGCCATTTAGACAGTGACTCACCTGGTGGGTCGTCCTTCTTCATAGTTGTCATCTACTGTGTCTCCTTGCGGACCCCAGCACCTCTTCCCCACGTGACTGCCAGCAGTTTTCCTTTTAAAATGAAGTTTTGTCTCCTTGCGCTTTTGTGCATGAGTGTGTATGAGCCTGAACATGGTGTCTGTATGTGATGTTTGTCAGTATGCATGTGCACATGGGTATATATGGAGGCTGGAGGTTGAAGTTGGGTGGATAATCTCCATCACCCTCAATATTTTTATTTGGAAGCAGTCTTTTACAAAGTTGCAACATTTCTGAAAGCCAAAGAAAACTGTTAGCTAGGGGAACAGATAGCTTATAGGGTGAAAGAATGAGCTAATATCTAGAATACATCAGTATCTATAAAACTAAACACCCCAAATCCCTTGCCTGTCAATGAATAGGCCGATGAACCAAGCAGGTAATTCTCAGAGGAAAAAACATACACAGCCAATAAGTAATTTTTTCTCCTACTTGTTTATTTTACATCAGTTTTCCCTCGCTCCTCCTCTCCCATCCCCTCCCCTCCTTCACAATCCACTTCTGTTCAGAAAAGGGCAGGCCTCTCATGGATATCAACAAAATGTGGCGTAGCAACTTGTAGCAAAACTAAGCACCTGCCCTTGTACTAATGCTGGATAAGGGGACCCAGTATGAGGAATAGGGTCCCCAAAGGCCGTAAAAGAGTCAGAGACAGTGAGAGGGAGAAAGGATTGTAGGAACCAGAGGGGTCAAGGACATCACAAGAAAACCCACATAATCAACTAACCCGAACTCATGGGAACTCACAGAGTCGGAACTGACAACCGGAGAACCTACATGGGACCGACCTAGGCCCTCTACACATATGTAACAATTGTGCAGCATGGTCCTCTTGTGGGATTCCTAACAGTGGGAGTCAGTAAGTATTTTTAAGTGTTTGATATCCTTAGTCATGATAGGGAATGACTAAGATAATAATAGGGAAGAGCCAATTAAAACTGCTTGTAGAGTTCAACTCCCCCAGTCAGAATGACTAAGACTCAGATACAAATGACTAGCGCCAGGGAGGAGTGGGGAAAGAGGAACCTCACTCACTGCTGGTGGGAGCGTAACCCTGGGCAGCCACCATGGGAACCGGACTGCTGGTGGGAGCGTAACCCTGGGCAGCCGCCATGGGAACCGGACTGCTGGTGGGAGCGTAACCCTGGGCAGCCACCATGGAAACCAAACTGCTGGTGGGAGCGTAACCCTGGGCAGCCACCATGGGAACTGACGTGGCGATTCTCAAAAGACTAAAATTAGAGCTGCTGTATAACTCAGCTCTGTCACCTGGACTTTTACCCATCCCAGAGATGCCTGTACATTCGTGTCCATCAGTGGCCTCGTCACAGCAAGAAAATGAGACTCAGTCTAGATGCCGATCGACAGATGAACAGATGCTGAGAAGGTGGTGCATACACACAGTGGAATTTTATTCAACCACACAAAGATGAAACTATATGAATTTCAGGAAATGGGTGGATCTGAAAATTATTATACCGAGCTATATATACCAGACTCAGAAAGGCAAACACCATATGTTCCTTCTCATATTCGAATGCCAACATCTAATTTGTTTTAAAGAGTTTATTTTTAAGTGTATGTGTATGCGTGTGTGTCTTTGTGCATATGGAGTGTGGGTACAGGCACCCACTGATGCCAGAAGAGGGTGTTGGATCCCCTAGAGCTGGAGAGATAGGTAGTTGTGAACTATCTATTGTAGGTGCTGGGAATGGAACCTGGGTCCTCTGGGAGAAAAGGAAGTACTTCTAACTACTGACCCACCTCTCTGGCCCAGATTCTAATTTTTATTTATGTGGGAATAAATGTGGGTAGGTCATAAAAATAGAAGAGCGGCCTTGAGCAGGGAAAGGAGGTTCTTTTTCAAAAAATTAATTTATTGATTTATTTATTATACATCTTGGCCTCAGTTTCCCTTCCCTCGTCTCCTCCTAGCCCACCCCCACAAAGGGCTCTAAGGAAGAGGAATGGGAAGATAATAGAACACACGAGACATAAAAATGCAAAGAAGAATTCTCCGGTCACATGGACACGAATGAGATGGGGGAGATGAGAGAGAAGCACTGGGGTCCATTTAAACAAACTGTAGAAGCTGAGGCCCAGGGCGGTGCCTGCTGTCAGACAGTGTCCTCTATACATGACAGGAGGGCTGCGCCCATGAAATCTCAACAGTGCGGTAGTCTAAACAAAGTGGCGCAGTGACTACGCCAACTGGCATGCCAGTGTGGGAAAGGGGACTCTCACAAGACCCACCCCCAGATGAAGAGCTATAGGCAATTAATGGCTGGTAAGGGTGGGAGGACCAGCCTTCTCTGGGGATGAGCCCCTGAAGGACCAGGAAGAGTAGAGCCAAAAATCTAAGTTAGCCGGTTCAGTGACTCTGTTCCAGGAACTAGCTGACCATAAAGTTAGATTATAATCTTGAGAATAATCTTGAGAAACAGGGAGTTACCCCCTTGTGATTATCACTGGTATTTTCAGAATTTTCCAATGATGCCCTCTCTACTCCCTTTGGGTTGTGGTTTCTTCCCCTAAATACCCCTTCTCCCAGCTACTCAGGGTTAAACTACTCTACCCCTGCGTGGGATATGAGTCTCGGCCCCAGCACGCTGATTCCTGTCAATAAACCTTGTGGGATTGCAGCAAGGACGGTCTCTTGTGAGTACTTGGGGGGGGGGGTCGTGTTATCCCGAGACTTGAGTGAGAGTCTCCCAACTCCCAGGGTCTTTCACCCACCCCACCCCCCGTAAGTCATCCAACCTCAAGAGGTCATCCCTAAACACATACACATGTGAGCAACAGCAAAAATGAACCTAGCAGTTGTATTTATATATTATTTATTTATATATGTGTATGTAACAATAATAATTAAAGAAAAAGAAGCCACGAATTTGGGGGAGAGTGAGGTGAAGGGACATGGGATGGATCAGAAGGAGGGAAAGGAAGAGGAATGTAAATGATGAAAATGTGGCACACGTATATGACATTTAAAAATAAAAATAATTAGAGAGTATTTTCTAAAGAATGAAATTTGTTACTTTGTAGGCTAATTAAAAATTAGAAATAAAGTAAGAAGGAATAGAAAGAACGTCACATAATTAAAATTTTGTCAAAACAGTTCCTATGCATTTGTCCATATAAATGAGAATAGCATATCATCAGTGTAGTGGAACCAGTAGATAGATTTTATTTCCCTTTTTGTGATTTTTTATATTTAAATTTTGTAAGATTTCATATTTAGCTTTTGTAAGTTTCAAGTGATAGTTTGAATTTTCTTTTAATCAAGGGAAGGAAGAACATATGAAAAATATTTCTTCAGCAGAGGGAAAAGATGAGGCCCCAGATGGCTATCATTTGGCCAAGCTGGAGGTCAGATGCTGTCTGGTGGAGGGCGGGGCTTCTAACTAGGAGATTGGATATTTAAAAACCTAGGTGCTTCCCCTTGGTTCACACCTTTATTTCCCAACTTATATGTTTGATCTCCAGCAGCTCCTGGGAAGGAAAAAAAAAAGCGTCCCCAGACACTTCTGTCAGCACCATGAAGCCGCCCCTGCTCCCGTCTGTGGTGTTTCTTTGCATGCTGCTGCTGCTGACCGCACTAGGAGGGAGAAAGAAGCCGTACTCTCGTAGGTAGTGAGGATACTTGTGAGGCAGGGGATGGGCTCACTTCCGGACCAGGGAGTGGGTGTTGTGTCTGGCATTTTGATTCAGGTTCAATCTTTCCAGATCAGCTGTTGGAGAACCTAAGCAATCCTCCAGCTGGGATCACTCTCAGGCAGCAACATTCACACATAGACCACGAGCAGTGGAGACAGGATACGTCCCAGTGCCTCTGAGGCGCAAGAGCCAATACTGAGCTCCCTTCCTCCATTCCTACAGAAGTTCTCCAATTCCTGTCATGAGAATGAAACGGATATTTGTTAAAGAAACCTTAAAGTATATACCTCTTTTAGAATGTGAGAAGGCGCCAAGGTCCTTAGTTGAGCGAAGCTACGGGTCCATTGAGAAGAGAATCAGTGGAGGGGATGGAGAAAAGGGATTGAGAGAGAAGAATTTGGAGAGAGGCCAGCAAGTGGTTCATCGGGTAAAGTGCTTGCCAGGAAAGCCTGAGGACCCGAGTTTGAACCTGGGAACCCACAGAAACACAGAAGGAGGGAAGCGACCCCACAAAGCTGTCATCTGACCTCCACGTGTGTGTTATGGAACAGCCAGCAAGGAAGGGGTCTAGAGAAACCTGGTTCAAGCCAGGCATGGCTGATCACGCTTGTGATCCCAGCAATTAGGAGGCGGAAGCAGGGGTTTGGAGTTCAGCTTTACGTGAGTTCAGTAATAGCCTAGGCTACATGAAAGCCCATCTCAAAACAAAAACAAAACCAGAAAGCTTGTTCATATTCTCTCTGTCTACCCGAGACATGTAATGAAGCGAGTAGACATCTCAGACTTTCAAATCTCTTGTTAAATCAATCTATATTTTATAGACGGGTACATGGATGCTGGGAGCAATCAGAATCTAGTAATCTGTGGGAGCTGAGGTAATGAATTCAGTGGAGAGTCTATGAGGTCAGGGCCAAGGCGATGACATCACTAGGGGAACACAGAAGACAGACACCTTGACAGGAATATGAGGCTGGCACTCTGGGAGATACCTCCGACCTCAGAAAGGGCTTGTCTTACCATGCTTGCCTCTGGGGCTCTGTTCACCTCTTGTCATTTCGTTTCCATTTCAGAGAAAGAGCTGCTACTCGAGGAATGCTGGGGACAGCCAAAAGCTAACAACTGTGCCAAGAAGTGTTCTAGAACTTTCAAGTGTATATACAGAAATCACACATGCTGCTGGACCTACTGCGGCAACATCTGTGTAGAAAATGGGGTGAGTTGCAGATGTGCGTGTAGGGTATTGTTCTCACTGATACCACCCTCTGCCTCAGACTGTTACTCCTCAACAGAAGACCAAAGTTGTCCAAATCTGAGGCCCACACAAGGACCACACACAGACAGGCACTCACTCATACACACAGAGAGACAGACACAGCCACATATACAAACATACCTAGATAAACCCAGACATGCACAGACATATGTAGACACATCCATATATCCCTCCCGTAGACTTGTATAGATAACACACATAAAGACAGACAATTAATTATATACAGATAGAGACCTAGAAACATTCACACACACACAGACTTATGTAGACATGCACATATGGATACATACACACAGATAAACACTTATACCAAGCCCACACACAGAGACATGTACATACACACATTCACACATACAGAACCACAGACACATACATACTCACCATGTATACAGACACATATACAAAGGCACATCCAGACACACAGATAAACACACAAGCAGGTAGACACAAAGACACAGTACACACACACACACACACAGAGTGAGGGAGAGAGAAAAAGGGAGGGAGAGAGATGGAGGGAGGGAGGAAGGGAGGGAGGGAGAAAGAAGAAGGAAGGACATGCACGTGAGAACCTAAACTTCTTCTTTTACAGATATTTTTTGAAAGAAAGAAATGACCCTAACTTCTCCGTGACCCAGTCTCATGAGATCTAACAGCCATTTAGAGACTTCAGTGGTTACTTTTGGAAATACTGTGTTTATTGGTGGGTAGAAAAGCAAACATACTTGAAAAATAAACTGTTTGCTAACAACTGGGCTTCCATGTTTCTTTCCTTCACATCATTCTTTCTATTCTGCCCTGAATAGCTTGTTTTAAAGACTATTTATTCTTTCACAGTTTCATGCCATATGTCATGTTCTTTGATCAAAGCCTGCTTCGTGCCATCTCTTACTTCCTCTCCATTCCCATCAAATCCCTTCTTTGTTCAAAGTTGTTCCTACTCTTTGTATACCAAGCTGTCCTCGAACTCACAGAGATCTGCCTGTCTCTGCCTCCCGAGCGCTGGGATTAAAGGTGTGCCCCACCACACCAGGCTCCTCTCCTACTCTTGGCTGTACTTCTTACAATTCCTAACTGTAGGAATTTTGCCATCTTATGTAGCTTAGAATATACAAGCTACTCCTGTGAACTTTCTCAGGTACCATTTTAATGTGAGGAGTTGGCAAGTGAGCCCTTTGTTTCTTAAAGAGTGGGTCTTTCATAATTTGTTTAGGTATATGGAAGTCATTCTTTATGTTGCACTAAACAAAGAAAACAAATGTATGTGTACCTGGCCGATGATAGGTCTCTAACTAATGTGGGGATGTTTACAAGGAAGCTTTCATCAACAGCTGGAGATGTCCCTCAGTGCTAGCATTCCCAGTGGTGGCAGGTCCCAGGCAGCTCCCAGGACCAGGGTGACCTGCATAGGCCTAATTATTAGGCCAGCACTGTAGACCTAGGCTTCCCAACGCCCTGTACAGACACTTCCTATAGTCTCCCAGCATGGCATGCTAGACACTCTGCCCCAAGGCCAGCAACTTCAGACTGAGCTGATGGGAAACCTCCAGCAGTCAATGACCTTTAAGAAGTTGGACCAGAAAAAAAAAAAAAGTAAAAAAAAAAAAGGAAGTTGGACCAGGTTAGGGTGTGAACTTTTGGTCAGAGAAAACCCGCTGGCTCGCCCAGGGCTCTCTCTCTCTTTCTGGTTCCCGTGTTACACACCTGAAGTTGAATTTCTCGTTCCTGTTTTGTGAGTTTGCCCCTTATAATAAAGAAAATATAACTGGAATCTTTTGGAGTTATCTTGGGATTCTTTGACCTGTGCCCTTACGCCCAACACCTGGTGCCCACAGTTTGTCCTTAGGGTTGAGGACACCATTTAGGGGCTGATTATTACTTGTACAGGGTAGAGGGTTGGGGTGAAAATTATGTAGGCCTGGAGATCTCCTTGAAAAAAAAAAGAGGGAATATTGAATGGGATAATAGGTAACTTAGTGTGAACTTCCTCACACTAATAATAATAGTGAGTAATAAAATAAATACTTGTGAGCCACTATTTATGGACAATTTACACTGGTATAGTTTCTTGTATATTGACACAAGTTCAAATTCTATTTGTTATTTCTGTTTATAATATTTGTACACCTATGCAAAATTATTTTGTTAGATTGTATGCATACATGTTTCTACCTTTAAGACATTTTGTGCATTGATGCAGTTTTTAGAATATATTTATCATATTGTATTATATATATTCCCACCTCTGATCAAGATACGGATACATTGTTTACATTTTGAGGTCATTGTCCTCATTTACTGCACAGTTATTTAAAGATTATTTAATATTCTGATATGAAGTCTTAGTCTTTAAGTTATGCAGGTATTAGTATTATAGGTTGTCACGCCCGACCTCGACCAGCAAGGACTGATGCAACACCAAGAGTCTTCCAGCAAGCGGCTTTATTGCAGGATCTCAGTTACAGCTCAGGGGTAATGGCGTCTTCTTCCCCGAACCCTCCGCATAAGCAGCTTATAAGCCTCTGTTCTCCAATAATTGTTAGCCACGTGGGCATAGCTCATAGGCTCCCTGGCAACTGCAGACACTCGTCAGAGTATGATGCAGAGTCACTCCACAGAGGAGCTGTGATCCGATGCCAAATAAGGAGTTGTTTACTCCAAGGTGGCCGTTAGAAAGGCTAAGAGCCAGCGCCATGTTTAAGGCGCGGTCGGGGAGCCATTTGGGGGAGGCGAGCAGTGCCCCACATTAGGTCAATAGTTATTCATGTTTTTTATACATATAGTCAGATTAATTAGGTCCTTTAGATACATAGAGATTGTATTCTACACAGATAGGCAATCTTCAACTGCTTTAAGGAACTGTAGAACATAGCATTTAAATTACTTAGGGTTCTGTTGATGTGTCACACAAGTGCTTCTGATAGCACTGATCTATTCCCGAGAGAATGTTGAGTACCAAAGACACCCCCACTTGGAGATTGTTTTCTTTTTGGCACAACTGGCCTTTGGGCAAGGAACTGCCCATGCCTCGACCACTGACAAAGTACATGGTGTCCAGACTGGATAAGAAAGACACAAGGAAAAGGACTGCCAAACCCTGCCAAGACAGGGTAAGATGGTTCTAAAAATTTTCCTGCCTCTGAAAATGATTAGGCCTTAGCCAAACTTGGTTGCTCCCAACATTGCAAATGAGACTTTGGGTGATTGCTCAGGTAGCTAGTTATCTCTGTCATATACTGCACATTTTGGAAGCTGCTTGATTGAATTTCCCACCTAGTCAAGTAATATTATCTCTCTTCTCAGGCCTTCAGTGAGGTTGAAGATTAAATAGTCATAGTTACCATCCTCTTATGATTTAGCCAAGCCATTTCCAATGCAAGACTTAGACTCCTTAAGAGAGAATGTTTATTAAACCATTTATCATATGTTCCTTGCTTAATATTGTTTATGTTGGTTGTAATTTTATACTTGATATCTGTTCCTAGTGTATATAGTTTTGTATTGGGTTTGGAACTGTCTTCTTTAGATAAAAGGGGAAGGTAATGGGGAACTTCCGTCAGCCAATGACCTTTAAGAGGTTGGACCAGGTTAGGGCTTGACCTTTTGGGTACCCAGAGAAAACCGCTCTCTTGCCCAGGGGCTCTCTCTCTCTCTCTCTCTCTCTCTCTCTCTCTCTCTCTCTCTCTCTCTCTCT